TTAACATGATTATTAACGATACCAGCTTATGCAATATAGTATATACGGTATTGCCTTGATAAAAATATATTATATCGCAATAATATAAATTATAATATAGTGTAAACACAGACGATTAACCAATAATAATATGTGGCAGCGAAGAACTGTGTTTGCTATAAAAACTCGTTCGCTGTAAAAATTATTTTTTATTATTATTATTGTACGTATACTACGCGTAACATGATATTAATAATATTATATGGATGTCTGACGTTTCAAATATGTGTAGACAGCATAATATATTGTATCGGAATAAAGGGAATAAACGGATAAATAAATTCTTAATAAAATGATAAAACAACGTCATAATCGAACGCGAGAAAAGTGACAAAAATAATAACGGTGCAATAAATTAATACTACAGTGGCGTTTTAACAGTGGCGTAGCCACGGGTGGAGGAGGGTGTTGTATGTGTCACTGATGTTTTGTAGGTAAAATCAACTCAAATACACCTACTGAAAAAAACTTTTCGCTCATACTAAAAGACGAATGATTCAGATAAACAATTGAATCGAGAAAACTGACATATTCTCAATAAAACAAAAAGCATAAAAACTATAATCTGACTTTATTAAAATAGCATTATCTTTCAACTAGTTATTTAATGAATAATCATTGAATTGAGTACAGTACACACTAAATAATTATGTCTGCTCTCAACGTATGCACGTGTATGTGTATTACAAATAAGTTTTTTGAATTTTATAAAACAATTTCTACCTACGTCCGGCTCGTACCATATTTTTTTTTCTAATGGATATCGATGCGTAATATAAATATACGCTACGATGCAACGATACTGCAGATACCTAAACAAATACGATCATGTGTTTATAGTGATGGTAACCATAGTAACGGTAGGAAATGCCAGACGAATTGTTCATTGACCTCTCTAACCATAAGACCGAAATGTCAAAACTAAAAAAGACGAATATACTTAGCACGACGGGTGAGCCACTGTTGTAGGTGAAAGGTTGGGAAGGTAAAGAATCTAGAGAAGAATTCAATATATATATGTATCCAACACTTAATAGTTGTTAAAAAAACCAATTCTGAGCGGAATTCAGTTATATATGTTTTGAAAATATGCATGACTTTCGTCAAAATTTAATGCTGAAATTCGTATAAAAAAAATTTTACTTTTTTCAGTCATTTATATAGATGTATAAAGTCTGTAAGTCTGTAAAAGTGAGAAGGAAAATATGAATATACCAATTATTAACACTGATGCAACTCTGATGTGTCATAATAAAATCGCGGACGCAACTCGGACAAAATATCATTTACTAAAGCAATTTGAATGTGCCGAAAAATACGTATAATATCAAAATCAATAAATTCGTTACTTTGAAATTAGACTCAGTTTTTTTTTCCAGCATACTGATACATCTGTATGCCATTATTTATAAATAACTAAAAAATCTAACGATAAAAATTCGAATAATATTTAAGATGTTATAATAATAATAATAATAATAACAACAACAACAACAATAATAATAATAATAATAATTCGAAAATACGTCAATAAGAACTACGAAGAAGAATAATCAGATTCAGTTTTCGGGCGGGTTGCCTTTCGCCCGAAAACGACTCTTCTTTTTTCGCCCACGTTCTCTGTTTGCCCAAAAACGATAAATTCGCTTTCTCTTTTCGACCAAATTAAATACACTCTTTTCGCCCGTTGTTTTATGTTCAACATTTTAGAAACCATTTATCAAAATTATTTCTATTACTTCTTACGTATTTTTCACTGTATGTATACAACATATTTTATTTAAGCCATTTAGCATTTACCCAGAGAGTTATTGTAATAAACGTATAAACTTATAACTTGGATAATGGTGTACACCTATATTTACAGTCGGGTTTTAGTATGTACGTCGTAACAATATAGATAATATCCACGATTAGGTATAACTATGTAATACGTATTTATTGTTATCGTTATTTTATTCGTTCAAAATAATAATAATAATATAATTTGAGAGTTCAGTAATTTGGTGCAACTGATACGAGTTTCGTTTCTACGCTTTTTGGAAAATTAGTTCATATGTTATGTTTATGGAGTTCTTAGAAAATAAACGAGGAAGCCGTATGGTGCTCTATAATAGTTTTAAATATAATTATGGTTTAACGAAAAAGCAGATGACTCCATCCGCCGGAGATGTGTAATGAGAGCACGCGACGCTAAATTATATACAAAAAAAAAATCAACAATTCGTTTATTTCTACAGCTGAAGAACATAATAACGATCCATTTGATAAATCCAATATTAGTTGTCATATAATGAATACAGCATGCAGACGAACAGCTTTAGAAGATCTCCATATAAGATAGAAAAAAATTGTACTTAAAGAAATTATCCAAAACGACGCATTATCAAATTTAACGTAGCTGGTTTTAAACGACTAAGTAAAAATATATATAAAGCTCGTACAAAAGTCCTTCCACCTGATCCTACAAATATAAATGATGTTCATCAGTACATTGACACAGCTGAAATAAAGACTATCTAAGGAGAAAATTTTGTGTTACAAAACGATAAAAATAAGTAGTATTTCCTGGTGAAAGAAATTGACGCTTCTTGAGCAAAGTAGAAAATATATACACGGATGGCACTTTTAAATATTCGGAAATATTTTTTGAACCATACATGGGTATGAAAATGGAAATTATATTCCATTAGTTTTTTGTTTATTTGTTAAAAAATCGATCGAAACCTACGAACTCGTATTTAAAATAATTGTCGAAAGATGTAATAAACTTGGGTTACTTTTATCGCCATTAAAATGTACGGTTGATTTCGAAACAGCAATACACAGAGAAATAATAAATATTCGACTGAGACAACAAATACGTGCGAATCGTTTCATACATTTTTTAATAAAATTTTTTATTGTAGTTCTCCGTCAATAGGCATATGGTTGACCATAATCTATGAAGTTCAAACTAATGTATATATTAAATTAAATAGTATTAACTTAAAACAATGTCCTAAAGATAAAAAATTTAAAGAGCGTGAATAATACAAAAAACATAGAATTATACAAAAGTGGACAAATTACTTGATTTTGATTTATCAAATCAATGTTATATAATTATAATATGCATACATAAATACACTAATATAACACGAGTACAACTGAAAATATTTTGTTTTACGACGTCACAGAAAATTACAAAATAGTAAATACCCACCATTTAACATTTTGAATAACTTTTGGAGAGTAAAAGAAGCCGCCTCCTCGTAGTGCTCTCTGAGCAATGCTAAATGGCTTTATTTAAACGTAAGAAATAATATGAACTGTTCTCAAAATGTTGAACATAAAACAACGGGCGAAAAGAGAAAACAAATTTATCAATTTTGGGCAAACAGAGAACGTGGGCGAAAAGAGAAAGGTCATTTTATGCCGCAGTTTTCAAAGTGAGGAGGTTAATAAAATCATAATATAATAATATGATATATGATATAATCAGTGGTATGGCGTGTAATATTTTGATTGATCGGGCAAAATTATTTTTTTGCGTACTTTACCCAACACCCTTATTTTATATCAACCAAAAGAGTTTCTTTTTCGCTTATATAACAACAAATATTACGAATACCTATACGCTTTTTAAGTACGAGTATTGTTGTACAATAAACAACAATACTGTAATTTACTTGTATACACTTTGTATGAAATAAATTCTATAGATTGTTATAAAAATAGTTATTGTAAACAAATTATTCGGTTTACTTAAATAGTTAAATCTGAGGAATACACCATTTTATTATACATATAAGTGATGCAACATAAATCCGAATAATCGAAAAATACGGTGTTCGGATTTAAAAATATATAGGTAATAATAATGGCTCGTTTACAATTGTATGAAAAATATTTAAAAAAAACCCAAAATTTTAAACTTTGGTTTACAAATCTAGAATTTCGATTTTAAATTCATTTTCGGATTTCGAAAATCCAGATTATCGAACTTCGGCAATATCTAGATTTTTTCCACCACTAAAATTTATAGTTTGATTAGTTTATTTATAATTTGAAATTATTGCAATGGAATTAAACATTGCACGTTTTACTATAGGTAGTAATAAATTAACTCTGTCGTTATAAATTATTTTATATCGTAATTAATTTTTTCATTCTTCAGCACTCACTCGCCTATCAAACACCACCATCAAAAAATAATACGTTGAACCATGGCCCCTAAAGAACACTATCACAACGCCGCTGAATTATTATTTGATTTACTAGTTTAGAAATGATTCTGTATGAATGTATTATAATATTATATGTATACCAATACTATTGCAGACACAATATAAAATTGTAAACTATTATATAGTATGCTTTATTATACCTACCTACTGCATAATATTGCACTATAAAACGTATTGATTTTTATTTCATTTTTTGGCGAGGATATTATAAAAGTCGGAAGGTATATAATACGTAATACGTACACACGTGTAGAATAAAATAACATGTTAAATCTCTAAAAATGAAAAAAAAAATAAAAATAAAACCACTTTTACCAGATAAATTTCTAATTGTGAACCATTCAATCAATATAATGAAAATGGATACGATTCTTCGAATTGCCTGGCAATTGTATATAAATAATGCTCATTCAATTCGTTTTTGTTTAGATTGTTATTCGTGAATTATCTCCTACGGTCCCACGTTGGGCAAAAAAAAAAAAAAAATCGTATATACTTCGAATCCTAACACCAAAAACGGAACGAGAGATAATATTTTTGTGTATTATCAATAAACAAGACGATTCATTTACATAAATCATTTAAGCATTATTTTAACACGGGTTTAAATTTTTTTTAATCTTATTCCATAAATCTACCTTTAATGATAAGTGTACAATTTTGATTTTCAAACAGTAATCTCTCTTACCTTTTTTTAAACACATATTCAAGTGGACTTATTTTTGGAAAAATATGGACAACACTAATATCGACTTTATTGCTTATGGTGAGTTATAAAAGTTTAAAATTTAAACATGAAAAGAAACTTAATACATTTTATTATATTACATTAATTTTAAATGATAAATTGACGATTATATCACTCTTTATAATTTACAAATGAATCATGTCCAAATACTCGGAATTATTTAATGTTTTTGAAATATAAAGAAAGTATTGTCCTAATGTCGGCTCTAACTGTTTTCATCTCATATATCGGTTGACGGTTGATTTTAATATTCAATATTCAATTCTACTCACTGTTTTCAAATTCCCTATTATCAACGAATTTCAGTTATCGGTTTTATATCGGTAAAAAATATCGGAAAATTGAATAGGTGTTGAAAATTAGTTATATTCACCAAGCATTACTAATAATGATTATTATATTTTAAACGCGTCATTTAAGATATCCCATGTATAGATCGTGTATCCAACTTGTGAACTTCAAACAACCTGAATGGAAAAACTTAATACTCATAAAGTCTGCTATAAAATCTCAGAAACTAGAATATTTGGGTCATATATTATTTATTTATTTATTTATTTATTTATTTAAATATATGTGTAGACGCCTTGAAGGTAGTAGTTGTAAGAACAATAATGTTATTCACTAACTGTATTATTAACAGTTAGTAAATTACAGCGAAATAGAAGAAATCAGGCTAAGTATGTTTAAGACGACACAACATCTTATGGAGAGATTTATTGTAACCATAAGACGTGAAGTGCATTGTAATGGAGAAGAGGGAGTGGTTTCGAGTGGAGTGTGAGATAATATGGAAAGAAACGATTTCCAGTAAGTTAGTAGCATCGAGAGTACCGCTGAGAAGAGAGGAGATAAAAATAAGGTCAGCTTTGATACGACGGGAGGCAATAGTAAGGATATCGAGGAAGGAGTGTATACAGTCGTAGTTATGCGGTAGGTAATCAAACTTTAGCTGATGGGCTGTAAACAAAAAAAAAAAGGTTCTGGACTCGTTCGATACGCAGTTGGTTTCACGCCAAGTAAGGATGCCAAATGGTGATCTCGTACTCCAGGATCGACCGCACTAGACGGCAATATAAAGTATGAAGATAGGAGGGAGAGAGAAAAGGGAAGAATTGCGCTTGATGAACCTAAGAGTTTTAAGAGTGAATCCAACAGTAACATCGATATGGTACCTGAAGGAGAGATTAGAAAACAAATGGAAACCAAGATATTTGATAACATTGATACGAATGAAAGGGAAACAGCTAAGGGAATATGGATGGATAATAAGGAAACATTTCCTGGAAAAAGTATTGATGTGGAATTCATTAAGATTTAAGTCCAGGTTAACAAGTCCAGACCAGACAAGAAAGGCATCGAAATCCACCTGCATGAGTAGGCAGTAAGAGGGGGAGTCAATTTGAGAGACAATTTCAATGTCATCATCAAAAATAAAAACCTTAGCGAATGAGAAATGTACATTTAAGGACAACACGAAGAGAATAAAAAGAAGAGGACTGGGGTGGCCACCCTGGAGTATATAGAAAGAAATAGGGGACAGGCCAGAAATAGCCCTGCAAACGGTAACAAATTAACGCCTATCCGATAAATACGAAGAAAGCCACAAGAGTAGAGGACTGCCGACTGCAAAAGAATAAAGCGTAGCGAAGCGTGGCTGATTGAGTCAAAAGCTTTGTTAAAGTCATTAAAGATGAAGCGAATGATGGCAAGAGCACAGTTGTTCACGTTTTAACTTGGTCTTATCGTGGAAAGGGCTAATGTCAACGACAATTTTTTGGTTGTTCCTTTTCACGGTGCTCAAAACAACCGCGGTTAAAGTTTTAGAGCTGAAACAAATTTTGATTGGACAGGGTATCTTGGAAATAACTCTACCAAGGTGCAGCACCTTGGCGTTTGGAAAAAGAGAAAGAGGGAACTCAGTCATCAGATTAGAAATAAGGATTTATTGTCAGAAATTATATGAACAGCAGCAGTTGAGGACTCAGGGATTCCGCGAGCGATAATATTAAAACTACATCTTTCGTGTTCAGAAATTATTAAACTGGCCCAAGGTAGTGGATGGTGGCAACTGAATTCTATCTTTTTTGGTTATCAATTCGTTACATAGAGTCTTATATTCAGATTTAATAATGACAATTTAAGAAGAAAGTAGTTCCAGCAAATACTTTAATTCAGTAAACTTTAAATCTTGAGAGCTCCGGAGAGAGGCTATAGTCAGCACCTTTTGAACAGAAGAAGAATCGGGTACAGAACATCCCGAAAGTCTAGTGGCAAATATAAGGGCAGTGAAAGTTGCAAACTTAAATAAAATCACTAACAACGTGGTGTATATGAGTTTGGAGTTTAGTGTTACTACGCACGCAGTGTATACGGCAAGTGCAGCAATGCTCATATCTTGCCAGATAGGTAATCATCGAGCGGCAAAGATAGCGCCGGCAATTCTGACCTATTTGCCAAGTACAAACTTAAAATAACTCACGTGGAACGGCGTCCGTGAAATTGGAAGACACAATAATTGAAGCAAAAAAAAAGAACGACTCAAAAGTGACACCGGTCTGCACGCGCACTTGTTACGAGAAGGTAAACGCGAAAAACGTAAAAAACTACCAAGTATTATGGAATAAATGGAATAAAACTGGTAGCAGTGCGTAATAATTAGATGTGGCACGGTACGAGGTACGACGTATGACGGTATAATGAGAAATAACCAAAGATAGGTATGGAGTACTGCAACTCAATGTACTCCAAGGGAAAACGGAAGGAAAAATAAGTGTTTGCGGGAAGAAAAAGGATATTATACGATTGAAAAACCTACGCGATTTGTTTAGCGCAACGTCTAGTTAATATTATTATTTCGTACGTCTTTCGATAAAGAAAATATTATATCCATTATGATTCCCAACATCCGAAAGAACAGATATTTCTACCCCCGGGTTCAAAATGTGTATGTAATATTACGCCGAATAATGGTATTACGGAATTTGGGATTTATTTTAATTTTATTTCGACATAATATAGAGGACGAGAATCATAGCATGAGGTTTATTTAGTAATAACCATTACGAGAAAGAAAAAAAAAAAAAAACGTAAGAACATCGAACGCGGAACAAAAGTTATTTCAGACGTCGGATATTATTCGTATTAAAGCCCGCAGTATTGTAATATACCTCCTGCCGTTAGAGGTATACGCGCGCAATATTATTATTATTCCTATTCAAAATATTCGCCCCGGCTATACGGCAGACGGGGGGGGGGGTAGTGGTGGTGACGGGGTACCTAGACGTATTTATGTTTGACACCTTTGTGAGAAAAAAAAAAAATGCATTGCGCGCCGCCTCCGCGCGCGCATATTATTTATAATACAATAAAACCGTTATTCCCGGCGTCGTAATAATAACGTCGGATTAAAAAGGCGTAGGCAGGGTAGGTACGGACCGGGTAGTGCGCGCCGGCACGTAATAATAACAGCGTGTGCCCGGGCGTCCCGGCGTAACGTCGGCGCAGCGATATTCGGATTTTTCGCGATATCAATGTGGCTGCGCGGCGTGTAAAATGCACGGCGAACGCGATGTGGTGGAGAAATACGTGTATAGAGGACTACGGAAACAGAGACGTTCACAATGTCCCGTACGCCGTATTAGGTGTTGTACGCGTATACGTACACGTTACACATGTGTACACACATATATATTTACGGTTTTTTTTCCTCCTCCCCCGCGGAAAACCCTTTTAAGCCTCGTCTTTCGCGCGCCAAATCTTTTCATCCCGAGTCCGCCGGCGGCGGCGGCGTGCCGGGCCCGACTCTTGTAGTACTCGCGTGACGCACAACACAATAACGCGACGCCGTGTACGCATTCGCAGCAGTCAAAAGATCGGCGCAAGGGTAGGAGCAGGGGGGGTGGGGGGTTGTTATTTACCCCCTCCCCCACCGCACCTCTCCGCACACGGATTATATTGTAACGTATACGCCGAATATATTACGCACACAGCAGCATTATATTATGTAATCCCGTGCGCGCACTTCCGTCCGTCAACACTTCCTCCGCTGCCCTCTTTCCAGCCTCCCCTACCCCCCCCCCCCCCTCGATCGATTCCGTTTATCGTGTAGTGTACTGTGCGCCTTACAACGTTATACAACGCGCGTACTACACTCGTATTGCATACCCTACGGGTGTAGCGCGTACAGCGTATTTATAACACGTAATATTTTTTTATTTATTTTATATACATTTATGTATCATAAATAAATATATAAATAAAAGCGTACGCTCGCGCACGACACCCTGTATTATATACCTTGCACATATATATATATATATATAATAACGCCCGTCGTTGTTTCCTTCCGGGGAAAATCGCTGCTCGCGCGATATCGTTTCCGCAGCCTCCGTTCGGTCTCTCCTTCTCCCTCACTCTCTCTCTCTCTTTCTCTCTCTCTCTCACCCACTCTCTAAAAATATTATACAATCTCTATTTCGCGTCCATATAATACCGTGTGTATATATATATATATATGTATAATAGGGATACACGCAGCACAGTGATAGTGTAACCGAACTTTTCTCCGTCTTCCGGCTTCTGCACTGTATATAATGTATATAGGACATACTATACTCTCCCGAAGAGTTTTCGCCGCCATCACTATAAATCACTCCCGCGCTATACACTTCCATACGCCGGTCTCGCGTAATGTCCTTCCGATCCCGCGTTCCTGTACACACAATAGTAATAATATATAGATCCGTGTCTTTCCTCGCCTTTGTCTGGACGCGACCGCGATCTTTTATTTCTTTTGCGCGCCGCGGCGTTCGCCCCACTCGTCGCTCTGCGATACGGCGTACAGCCGCGGTAACAAAACCGACGGGTGTAATATCGAAATGCACTCTGGTGAAAAAAAAAAATGAAAAGTTAATGATCGAACTGCACTCGTGTCGAAAACGGGTAACGGCCAAACCGAACTCATGTAATAATGTCGAAAGTTACACGGTTTTAAAAATGCTAATTTCTATTCCTGCCTAACATTATTTAGTCGTTCGCGCGATTAAAAACAAGTCTCTTTTCTACATAATATATATTATTAGTGTGTGTATGAATAAAATCGTTTTTTCGAGCTTTTTAAATTATCCCGGAAAATAACTTTTTTTTTTTTTACATCAGTGCCAAGTGCATTTTGACCAATTACACGTTTTGATGCGGGCGCAGTTCGGCCTATATTTAAAGTAGGGAAGCGGCGGATCCAGGAACTGTTCAAGAATGGGTTGGGGGCAACCACACTTTATCCAATACCAAATCGTGTCTTATTCCATAGGGTAGTGCTAACTAATAATTACACACGGTGGTGAAATGATGAATTTTTCGATCGATGGTATAGACTCGAACAATATACAAAGAAACCACGTCGCAATGCGAACGGCTATAATAAGAATTGTATATTTGAATATTTTGAATATTAATGAAAC